ACACTTTCAAAACCTTTTAATCTTTAATGTGATCCATCAGAAACTGGAAGGCTTGGTGCTGGTCTTACACTTTGGAAAATTGATGCAGTTAATATGAATAACCTACCCAAAGCCACAAAGGTAAACATTATCAGCCAAAATAAAAACTCCAAAGTTCAGGCATCAAGTCCTCTGTTCAGACTATAACAAAGTGATAAATCTCATCTGATATTTGAAAGCCTTTCCCAGCAAGGAAATTCTCCACAGAATTAAGATTTTATCATGATCAATTTGTTATTTCAGCTGGGATTTTTCTCTATTTTGTCCACTGCTAAGTAACATCAACACTTCCAGTGAGGTCCTTAGCGTGATAAATTGTGTCTGTGTGGATGTGTGTGTACACACACATGAACAAGCATTTCAAAAGGATGAAACCATTCTCATGTCATTCATTTAATATAATGGAAAATAGTTGTAAATGCTACACTGTTTCTTCTCTCAAAGTGGACCTACCCTAATTTGTGATTTGATGACCAGTTTTCCACTTTTATTTACAAGAAGATCTCTCAATTTGTCAGAATCTCTGATGAAAATAGAATAGCAGAGACAAACCATGAGTTAGGTTCTCATATATGATTCATTAAAAATGAACTATGGCTAGCCTCCTAATTTTTTTTTTTCATTAAAGAGCCTTTTAAATTACAATTTATTTTCTCTGACAAAATTCACATCCACTATCCTGAGAACTTCTAGCCTGTAAAAATGTCCTACAGAAAATGTAATGATAGGATCAGTTTACTGTAGATTAGTGAACTAATCTAAAGAAGTCAAAATCAAAAATAATATTTGGATAGGGTTTGGTGGAGAAGAACAAGATGTACTACTTGTGAACTTACTGACAAACATTACACTAACTATAGAAGTTGTTCTTTACTGTGAGGGTGGTGAGACACTGGCACAGGTTGCCTGGAAAGGTTGTGGCTGCCCCCTCCTCCCTGGAAGGGTTCAAGGCCAGGCTGGATGGGACTTTGAGCAATCTGGTCTGGCGGAAGGTGTCCCTGCCCATGGCAGGGGGGTTGGAACTAGATGGTCTTTAAGGACCCTTCCAACCCAAACCATTCTATCATTCTGTGATTCTATACTGCAAAGACAATGTGAAATGTAATGGAAGGGGTAGGTGAGAGGAAATACAAAAAACCTCTCATAAGGTAAGCACATACAGAGGCAACACTTCAACTCTAATTACTTGCCACTTAAGCAACAAACCTGCTCTCAACTCTTTTGAGAACATTTTACCCATTTATCATGCACAACTGCAGAGATGCCAATTTTAATATAATTTGTATCAAATAGTGCCTTTGGAGCAGAATAACTGAAAACTTAGCCAGAAATATTAAATAGGGAAAGGAAAGACCTGCAATACAAATCTGTCGCTCACAGAGAAAATAAATTTAGAAGAACGTTTAAAAAAAAGAGGCACAATCCTCTGTAGGTCCGATAACAATTTGAACAGAGAGGGTGACAGTGGTCAAGCAATTCCAGGTGTTTTCATGCATATGTATATATTTGTAGTTTATCTGTGTCTATTTCAATCAGCTTCTACTTTCTCCATGCTCTTCAGTAATCAAGTATTTGATTTGTAAGATGCTACATTAGTGCCAGCAGGCACAAAATGGTATAATAAATACACTCTTCACAAAATATAAAAGCCATACACTTAGTGAAGAAAGCATAGCTCTTCAGCTAAGTGGAAATCAGTATCTCCCTTTTGCTTTTTTAAAATAGCTCTGCTCAGCCACTTAAAGAGTCCCAGCTGCCACAGAAAGTCATACAAACTCCAAGCCCTGCTCTGTTAAAGTTTCTGTTCCATAGCTCACTTCAGGAGTGCGAACAGGATACTTCTTGCTGAACTAGACCGTAAGAAATTTCCTTAGTAGACCAAGTGAAAAAACAAATCTGATAATTTTTCCGTTTTAGCAATTCATCTGAAATCAGTTCCATTACAGAAGCATCAAGTCATTGGTTCTTGTTTTATCACACGCTTTATAAAGACAGGTTTATTACAACAGCCTTGAAGGGGACTGGCAGTTATGATCCCACCGGCCATGTTCTTGGGGAGAAACACCTTGGGAGAACTGTGATTCAACAGGACAGGGCTTTTGGAATTCAGAGAAGGGTGTCCCTCAGGGACTAAAGTCACAGAATTAGTGCCAGGTGGCACCACAGATTTCTTGGGGAATAAAATTTTGCTTTGTTCTAGAACAACATGGTTTATAGAAGAGGTGGAGGCACCAGAGAGTGATTCTTTTATCACTTCATTTGGGATCTTGCTATATAGGTAACTGGGGGTGTTATTCTCCATTATATCTGACCAAGCCCTGTAGCGAACTTCTGCAGCTCCCCAGTAGTGTCTAATAGCAGACTCGGAGCGATGGCCTGTCACTGCCATTATTTCTCTAGGCCCCAGTCCTGCTTCACAGAGTAGCTGGATGGTGGTAGTTCGGAGAGAATGATTCGTGTATCGCTGAGACAGCCTGGCTGCCACACTTATCCTGGGCATCATGGTACCTAAGTAGTTCACACCCATCGGTTCTCTTTTGTACCAGATAGGCTGTTCTTGCATTTGCTCTGACGTTAGCTTTAAAGGATGCAGGTAAAAGGCAGGGGGCTCCGGAGGCAACTTAGACAGATAAAGCTCCAAGGAAAAAACAGGACAGTTTGGGTCCCCTGGCATATCATACATTTTACCCATTTTATGAGGATCTTCTCCATTTTTCCCTTTGCCAGGATACCTAAACATAGCATATCGACGCCCGTTCTTGTCCTTCTCAACAACAAAAGCATCTGGAGCCAGATCTCTTAAAATTTCCCTCCCCCGTTTGGCAAAATGCAACTGCAAATCAAACCACACTTTGTTGACGAGTGCCAGTGGACTGTGCAATCCCAGCACACCGGATTGTTTAATCTTACGCAAGTCCTCAGCAGCTATAGGAGGATGGTGGTGAGTCTCATCCTTTCCCTGCATGCGCAGCATCTTCAGCACGCTCACAAATACCATGTTTGCACTAGCAAACTCTTTGTCCTTCATTAAGCAAATCTGACGATTATAAGGTGGCATTTTGAGATGCCGGTTTAAGCCAGCACGCATTGACTTGTAGCTTGCCACACTGTAGGTATTTCCATCATGATTCCTTATTGTGTAATAAAACTCTCTTAAGATATCATTGAGTTCATTTACTGGGACCAATTCAAAGCTAGGATCCTTGCCATTTTTGGCCAGCCATTGTTTTAATAGGTTAGCTGCCCAGCCAGTCTGCTTGTGGGTGTTTTTAATGCTCTTAGCATCCTCTTCCTCTTCCTCCAAGCCAAAGAGGACATCCTCGGGGAAGTTAAAATTCGTCTGTGCTGCTTCTACTGCTTCTTTATTTTCTGATGAAGTCTCTTCCTGTTTCAACTGCTTTTCGAAACAATTGATCAAAGTTGTACCATCAAATATGCCACAGGTATACGGCACACAGCGAACTACTTTTTGATCTGAGAGCTGTGAAGTGCGGAGTAATACATAATATTTTGGATTTTACATAACAAAAAGCAGGTGGCATTAACTGGATTTTTCAAATGATATGGCATGTCAATTCCATACCTCACTAGCCAATTAAAATGCAACAGAGGTCCTCTGTTATTAACCATGGCATTACACATGCTTTAACTGATTTGACTGAAAGCAAACCTAGAAACATACACTATAACAGAAGACTGAAAACCGGAAAGCATCATGTGTCTTATTTCCCTCCTCCTTGCTCACCTTCCATTGCTAAGTACCACTATCACACACAATATGTTTTTCCAAATCTTTTCCGGGTTTCAGGCTCTACCGAAGAAGAAAAATTCCAACATATGCATCTTATACTGAAAATTAAATCTTAAAACTGTACATCTGTCATCCATTCTGGTACTGAATTTCCTACATATCAAGTACTGACGAATGTTTTAATAGCTATAATCCACAGGTATCTTTGAAAATATTTGAAAAATTATGTTCCAAACAACCATTCTTTATGAAATGCCTTAATAAAAAGGTATAGTGAGGCACTATAGAGTATAAGTGAGAACTTACACTCTATAATATTGGTTATCTTTGCCAGACTATTTCTGCAACAGGTGAAAACCAGAATCTTGTCCAGTATATTTTCTTCTTGCTTTGAAACACAACTCAGATTTAACAGTACCTTGAAAGACTATTAAATATGGAAATTTTAGCTAAAAGTAATCTTGTCCAGTATATTTTCTTCTTGCTTTGAAACACAACTCAGATTTAACAGTACCTTGAAAGACTATTAAATATGGAAATTTTAGCTAAAAGTAATTTATTGCACTCCTCTTAATAAAATGACTTCCTAAGCATGAGGTGCTTTGCGAAATATCTGTATGCAGAAAGAAAACTAATTATGAATAATTTAAAATAGTTTAATTTCAACCTTTAAATTTCAAAGCAAGTTCCACAAATTTCAGATGAGGAATTCAGAATTATTGCAAGTTCTCCTTTATCATGATGTAGTTATTCCTGAAGAAAGTTTATTTTCCTTTTTTTTTTTCTTATGACATATGGCAATGAAATATTAGAATTCCAATCCTTATTAACTTCTGCATTAGTGTGGAAATGAGAGAGCTGCAATAGTTTGCAAAATATATCTAGCTTTAAGTTCAAACCCTTCAGACAAAAACTGGGCAGGGTTTTCTTTTGTATGTTAGCTCTATCAGTCAACTTTTTAGAGTGCTTCTGAATTACTGACTCATCTATTTACACAAACCCCACCAGAGAACTTCTGAAAAGATTATCAGAAGCTCCTGCTCCAAATAATACTCTGGATCAGAAGAAGAAAATTATAAACGGTCAGAAACTAGAAAGGATGGCACAAAAAGGAAACTAAAATTGTTTCATTATGAGCAATAAGGGTAAAGAACTTTTCTCCTGTGGATTGTAACTTTAGAATTTTATATAGAAACAATCAACAACCTACCTGTGTTGTCCCCTCAGCAGTTCGCTTGTTTGCCGAAGTATCTGTTGGTGGCTTGCTTGCCTGGTTTTCTGAGGGGTCAAGAAATTGTTCATTTGCAGATTCTAATCAGTACTAAATACTGCTATTCACTATACAAATTTGAAGGCAATATTCAAAATTGTTTGATAGTAAACATTCAGTATGTGGCACATCTAACATTTTTCAGCCCTGATTTTCTATTATAAGTATTCAAGCTTGATTACTACCATTTTTTTAGAGGGAACAGGATATACAGAAAAGCAAAATGGCACTTTCCAGCCAAGAAGCAGTATACGTTCCCTTCCTTGAAAGCCTGACAGTGTATTCAAAACATTTTATGAACAGTTCCCTTGCCTATATGAGGACAAAGCACATCCCCAACCTCTCTTCCCTCTCTATGTAAACTGACAAGATACTGAACTGAAAAAAAATTATAATTATTCAACATTTTTGTACAAAAAATTGACTGAATAACAGATGGTTAAACAGACTGCAAAATACATAACTGAGACAATTTGTGCAGGGGGACTAAGTATCTTTATTAGCTCAGTCAAACATATATCTAAACTAGCAACTTAAGCAGAAGTTGCTTGAATATTGGATGTAAACATTTAAAACCAAATTCTCTGCTCTCATTCCTTTTCATTTTAACCAGAGCTTATCAGCAACAGTGCTGGCCCAAAGTAGTGTTTCAATTCTGGTGAGAAAACTACTAGGGTATACACTAAAGGCTATGTGAACTGCATATAGTGAGACGTTTTTTGGACACATAGGCCCTTCCTTTAGTCACTGCCTGATCTGTCACAACCCTTCTTATCTGTGTTAAATCATTATATTAGCTTTAGAGCTAAAAATCAATACAATGCATATAACTGTACAACTCTATGGAAGACTTATTTTAACCTAGGTAACATAGAGATAGGAAAATTAAATAAAACTAGTTTTGATGTCAAGCTCTGCTTGAGTTCATTTTAACATTATATTGTGCCAATGAGAAACTTGCTATCTTTCCAACTCAGAAAAAAATTTCAAGGTATGTAAAATCAGAAATGCAGAGAATCATCATGGCGTGGCCAAAGACAAAGTTTTTTAAAATAGTTAATCTAGATTCCATTATTTGAACATTTGTTGTGTTCAAAGGCTTTGTTTTAAATATAATAAATGTACTTCTTTTGAAGTAGGTTAGCATCCTGTTGCGGTTTTTTCCCCCCATTCTGTTTGCTTTTGAGTGTTGTGAAAATTAAGTTAACAATTATATTTTCCTTTCAGTACATCTTTTCTTAGAAAGGCAGCCAGATAATTTTGAAAGTCTGTATCAAAAATAAATACCAAGTTGTTAATGGTAGGAGTTTCTGACTTCATGCTAGGAGTGATATAAATTAAGTTCTAAACAAAGCTTACAGAGCCACACTTGCTGACTCCTAAGGAGAGGTTATTTTCAACAATGGCTAAAGCACATCTATGACACAGATTATTTTTATCTTGGCAATTTCAACAGAAAGGCAGAAGAAACATCTAAAAATATACTAACAAACAAATTTCCACAGGAGTGCAGTTTTGTGTTTCCCTTTGACAACTATTTTCCTTTCCCAGGGTCAACATTCAAGCATGACTTACCAACTCGGGGCGCTGTAATGGTGGGTGGTTCAATAGGAGCTGTACTACTAAATGCAGAGAGGGGAATCTTCATCTGTAGAGGGGCTCGACTGCCGGTAGCATTATAAAGTCCTGAAGTAGCCACTGTGGGCAAAGAAGTCCTTGGGGCCTGTGCAACAGGATGTGCAGTAGAAACAGCCTGTACTGCCAATGTTGTGCCTGATGACCCAGCACTGGCTGGAGAGTTCCTCTGTATACCAGGACTGGGCACAGATGGGCTGTTATTTGGTTTGGGTGGATTAGTTGATGCCAAAGACACTGTAGTTTTGGTAAGGCCACCAACTGTAGATGAGCTTTGTACAGATATAAATTCAACGTTGCCTGGTTGTTGGTTAGTGACCAAAGTCCCTGTGTGGCCTTGCGGGAGCTGAGGCTGGGATGACACTGCAACAGGTACATGTAAGATTACAGGCAAAGACTGCAATGAGACAGACACTGACTGGGTGCTGCCGCTGGGCAGTTGGTTAGTACCTACAACCATAGCTGTATTAGCTGTGGGAAGAACTGTTGTTGTCAAAGAGCTGGTGGAGGTCATTGGTGCCTGAGGCTTAGGAATTCCACTGACAACTGTCGGAGGAGCAACAAGACTGGAAGCTGGCACTACACCCAAAAGAAAAAAAAAAAATTATTTGAACCAAGTGGGAAATTTCACTCCAACACAACAGATAGAAACAATTTACAATGAGGGTGGTGAGTCACTGGAACAGGTTGTCTGGAGAAGTGGTGAATGCCCTATCACCGTAAGTGTTCAAAGTCTGGCTGGCTGGGGCTTTGAGCAACCTGATCTAGCAAAACAAGTCCTGGTCCATGGCAGGAGGATTGGACCAGATGATCTTTAAAGGTCCTTTTCAATTCAAACCATTATATGAAGAATGTGGTTTATAATTAACTTTTTTTGCAAAGAAAGGCTATAGATACTCTTTTTCTGTTGTACACTCTGATATTCAATGGCTTAGTTAGAGATACAGTCAATACTGTATTTCTGTGTGAAAAAATTATATATAAATGGCAAAAAAAAAAAAAGATATACAAAGAACTATGACACCAACAGGCTTGAAGGAAGCTCCAAGATTTAACTGTTGAAAACAGATGAAATACAGTATTTTCAACAGTCATTACAGAAAAGGTAAAACAACTGGTCCTTCAGAAAACGTAAGAAAAGAAAAACTAAGTTAGTTATGACTAATTTGCTTTGTATAGGTAGGACCTTGTAACCAGAAGGTTTTACTTAAACCAAGGATTAACGTATCAGAGAATATACTTGCTTTTATGAAACAAAATCTGAGAATTAAATCTAAAGATCAGGTGCATAATACACCACAGAAAGCCAGTATATGCCTACTGTGAGACGATTCTGTGGAAAAGATTCAGCATTCAATAGTAGGTAAGCTGTTTTTAAAACCAAGGATGTGTGACTACAATGAATGCAATTTGTGGTGGTTTTGATTCCCTATAAAAATCTAATCTAGAAATTCCATTTTTCAACTTGATTCCCTTAAGAAGTGGGGCTTATTACTTCCTTTAGTTCCCTAGTCTTCTATAGCCATTAGGTAGAGGGGAAGATATCAGCATCCTACTATGATCAAGTCCAAAAAACAGCCTGTGAGCCATGTGTTTCACTTCTCGGCAGCAGAGAGACTGCCAGTTTTGCTGCCATATACAGCAAGCTGTCTGCTGAAGTATCTAATTTCCCCAGATGTTCTGGTTGACCAAATCACCATATTTTTTTTCCTTACCTCGTAAACACACAACACAAATATAAACTGGGAATATGTGGTAGGGAGCTAAAAATAATTATTTCTGAAGTCAGAAAAAAAAAAGTCATAAAATCCAGTTTTTCTCTGTTCATTTAGTTACTTATATAATGGAAAGCAATACAACTTTTAAGAAGTATGTTCAAAGTAGGCCATATGCAGTTTCTTACCTGCATTCACAGGGGCTTGAAAAGTGGCTGGTGTGCTCTCTCCTACATTCCTCTTTGACTCTAGCATCTGCCTCACTGTGCCAGCATTTCTACGAAATGAAGTTTCAGTTAGCATTTTGCAGTGAGACACAGCTGGTACAATCATGAACAGTACAATGATGAAAAAAATATCTTATTTTACAGCTATGATTTTAACTGAGATTTTTCTAAACCCATTTATTTTCTGCCCCCCATGCAAATTAACTTTGCATATTCCCCTACTAAAAAAACTGCAGATTTGTAAATTTTCATGTGCTTACACTGAGTTTGCCTTTCACCATGAGACTTCTCCCTCCCTTGAAATTAAACTTCCATTTTATCCATTATTTTTTAACTACTGAATCAACACTCATCTCAGTTTACCTAAGAGTGCATTCAATACTGTCCATTTATGACTTCCATGAAAGAAAACAAAATTTTACAGTTGAAGAGCAATGAAGGAAAAGGAAGAGAACTTTAAATAAAAAAAGAAAACACAGAGATTATTCATTACATTAGGTATTTGAACTGTCCTGTTGTAAATTTTAATATGGTCACAGCGATGTGGCTTGCTTACCGATACGTCACATTGTTTGTGTTTGCAGTGTCACTTGCTGCTTTTCCTGGAGACAGAGGTGAGTTTGGTGCATTCTGAAAAAAAAAAAAAAAAAAAAAAAACCAACACAAAAAAAACAACAAAACAAAAAGGAGAGAAAAGACATTGCAAAACAACCGTAAGTCAGCTTGCCATCCTGCACTTTCATTATATTTCATATTGATTTATTTCAATGTGATATACTTTCTGATGCCTGCACTGCAAGAGAACTTGGCATGTTTTACAATGCCCAAAACTTCCCTGGTCCTACCTGCCTCTCTCTGCTACATCCTCCCTTTTCATATGTCTCTTGCTTTCAGGTTTTTATAGCATGAGAATCTATTTCTTCTTGAATGTTAATGGACTTTTAGCTTCTTCTTCACAGTAATTAATCCAAAATATTAATTCTAGACACAGAGAAATACTATTGTTTGTATTCACTCCTCTTCTCCTTCTCCTCCACCCCCAAAATCAAGGTACTGGGATTCACTCTCGTTTACTCTGTACTCTTCATACTGAAGTAAATTACGTTTAGTTAAATACAGTTTGAGGTGCTTTCACACTAATAATACCTAAAGAACCTTCTACACAAATCAGAACTACGTAACAGATGTTAAAAGACTATTCTTTCATAACTGCCTTTAACCAAACCAAACCAACCTACCTTGTGAACGTCACTGAATAGCCAGGTCACACCCTTCTGCATATAAAATTTCTTTATCTTTCAACACAAGGTTTAGCCTAACTCAGAAAAACAAATATAACAAATCTAGTTCTTACTTCCTGTCTTTTCTTCAAGTCCTCCCTGGCTGCTCCAAACCGCTTTGTCAATCTAGCGATTTTAGCCTAAAAGGGAAGAAGATCAAACAAACAAGTAAGACCATAAATACCCTCCCCAAGAACCATCACAGACATTATAAAATCTAGAAGATGTATAATTAAGACATCAAGTCAAAGGCTATTTTGATATCAGGGGAAATTATTCTTCCTTGAAATACAGTACAACTATATTATTTCAGAGCAGCAGAAAGACACACATGTGTATCACAACCAAGAAATTTTAGAGACAATTTACATTATTTTCCTTCCTATTCAAAACTGCACAAACAGAATCCATCTTGCAGAGGTTCAGACAATATTCTGCATGAATGAAAGCAACTGGAAGCATTTGACTCTTAATGTCTTATGGACCAACCAAATTGAAAAATGCATGCCTTTTTGCTTTTTGTATTATCTACTCTTGCCCTATTTACCCTATTTCTCCCTCTCACTGATACAATACATATCACACACCTTATTGTCAGCTTTGTACTACTCTCTCTGATGTTCAGGTGTCAGAGTTCATTATCTTCTTAAGCACCATTCTTACACCTCATCTTTTACTTCTTGTACTTCCCGCAAAATACCACTTGGTCACCATTCCTTCTGCAATGACCTCAGCATTACAAGATCCTAATTTACCCCGTCTAGGCTGCAGTTCTGATGGTTGACTTATTCTGGAGGCAGTAGCTGTGCCACTTGTTTTAAGCAGGTACTTTTTTTTTTTTTTTGCACAGAAAGGAGAGTTAAACTCATTTCATGAACTCACAAAAACTAGGTTAGCACTAGAAGAATTAAGTTTTTAAAAAGTCAGTGAGTTCCATATACCATAATTTCAGAAGTTCTTCCCTAAAAGGAGATGGTCCATTTAGAAACATCACCTCTTTCACACTTTTACAAAGCAATGTGACAGGCCACAATTATAGTCTGCCTTTAATTACATTTAGATTTCAACTTCTGTTACCTTTTACAATGTAGAGGTGTTTTAGAACACCTTGCATAATAAAACCACATAAGCTTAGATTGTTAGTATATTAACATTAATACATTCACAGCCTTCTATGATGTTATCAATTTCACACTGTAGTTAATGGCTAAAAACACTGATAAACAAGTATATTGAAAGCATCTTAGATAGCACATAAAAAGTCAACATAAAAAGTCTGGGGCATCAAGGGTGGAAGAGTTATATAGTACAAATTGGTCTGGCAAACTCCATACTTGTTTTTTTATGTTAAAATTAAAATGGCCTTATTGTTTGAATTGTTTATGACATAAGCTTGTAATTGTCTTGTCACTTACAAATTCTTTGATTTTTGTGATGCTCATCATGTCACCACTATGTACATAATTTCTATAAAGAATGCAAGAAAGCATACTGCATTCAACATTAGCTATTTGTTTCCTTGATAGAACATAATTATTTAGTTTCTGGGGAAGTAACCTGGATAAATTATCATAGGATGTTTGTTTCTTTGAACATTCTACAAAGTCCCATGCTGCTATCCTCTCCTTTCTGCACTTTTGTGGTTTTAAGCAAATTTCTGGCTTCATAGAGGCATTAGCTATTTTCATACTTAACATTTATTTGAAGAATGTCTAAATGGAACAAAGAGTAGAAAAGCAGTTTACTAACAGCTAATGAATCAGTTTGCCAGAAGGAAGATTTGCTTTGGGTTTTTTTGATGATTAATTAGTTGCTTTCTTCTTTCTGAGTGAGGAAATAGAATTTTCCAACTCAAAAGCAACATTGGTATTTGCTGCTTCCCCTTTCCCCTTGTGGAGTCAAAATGGCTTCCCCACTGACAATTACAAGAGACTTACTACTAAATGTTGAGGACTTTACTTTTAAATTTGAAGTATGAAGTTCAACACACAAACAATCACCTGTAGTTCAGTAAGCACAGTTTTATGCCTCTTGTTACATTCTACTTTCTCTATTCGGGTTTTCAAGTCCGCCAGAGTCTTGTCAAATACAGCACACTGTAAAGCAGTAAGTTTTTCTTCCAACAGTCTCTGGATAACCTGAAAAATTATTAAAAAAAAAAAAAACCCAACAATGAAATCCCAGAAATTGGGAGACTAACTATATCCTCAACTTTTAACAAGTATCCTGCCACAAACAGAACAATAACTATGGTCATGCCCTGTCAATCAAATAAATCTAGCCACCAATAAGCATGTGGTTGCACAGCTAAGAAAAGTTTCTACATCTATTCTGGCAAATACAAATGGTCCCTCTTTGCCATTAATCCAAGAAATTAATTTCATTGCAGTGTGGTAACTGTATAAAACCTTATTACATATAAAAAGAACCTTAACAATAGAAGGTATTTTCATAAAGTGCTGTGTTTACGCAAACTCTTACTTTTCTATTCTTGAGAGAGACACAGAAACTAAAAGATGTTCAACATAACTTTATTTCTGACATGCTTTTTCCCCTTGCAAAAATGCCCTGTGTTGCTTTTCTTTCAGAAGCTAAAAATAGAAAAAGACATTGATTTCCTCAAAGTTTACTTGATACACTTCTTATTTAAATTTTTTCTCCCTCCTATACCTATTGCAGTGCAAAAATTTTCCTTAGGAAACAAAAATAAACAAGCAACAAAAGTGGTTCAGTTTTCTGCATCCTATGTTAATGAAGTTACAACATGCACTAGCTAACTAATGGAAGAAGGGCACTTTTTTTTTTCCTTCAAGACCATAGGTTTCTTTACATGCCAATGATACAAATCAAATATTTAACAGCTCTATAAAAATATGCAAAATGCTATGTTGATTGCACTCTTGTTTGGAGACAGATTTTCTTTAAAGCTAGGCACACAATAAAGCACACCATATATAAACCTTTCCTACACTGAAATATCTCCTTTGCTAAGATTCTCCATTTATAGTCACATGAGACTCAAGAGTTTAAATATTTAACACATTTCAAATATAACTCTTACAGAATAGTTTTCAAATGATATCTGGTCTCTTCTAAGAAGTAGGGCTATACAGGACTTTATGTAAATTAAGCCACCTTTGTTATTTGAATTGTGTCCAATTTTCAACGAGAAAAAAGAGAAGGGGGGGTGGGGCAGGGAGCATGTGGAAAAGGATAGCTAATTCAAAGATGTTAAGACAAGTGACCGGTGTGTGTTTGTCATTACCTTTTGTAATTTTTGGTCAACCTCCTTTCTGGCTGTAATTTTTACTTGGAGTTCTGCTTCATAATCTTCTTCCATGTACCGACGACGTTTAGAATGAACATTGTCAATGTCCTCAGATTTGGAACGTTTTCTCCTTGCAGCTTCACCTGGAACAATGAGACACAACTGCTCGTGAGGCGCCTTTGAAAAAACAGGTACCTGCAGAACGCTGTGATTATTATGAAGTTTCATTTGTCCCCAGTTTAAGCTTTCTCATCCTAAACCAGTAACATCACCTTTGGAAAAACAAGATGCTCGAAGACATCAAAGCAGAACAACAGTCCCTTTGGTCCCTGTACACTGCTGCCCTGTTAGCAAATTCTGCTTTGTGATTCACCAAATCACTGCACCAAATGCAAAATGGCTCTAGTACCACCATTCCCTTCTCCAGAACTTGCCTCCAGTTCTTCCTGCTCCTATCAGCACCGTCCCATAATGAAACGTGGCTTCTGAGAAGCAAAACAAAACCCTCCTCTGAAAAAGGAATCCTCTTCTCAAGATTCCAGCCAAATAAAACTACATCTCATTCTTGCTGTGTCAGCAATGAACTTTTCTACCTGCCGTGAAGTTTTGACCTGTACCTCCAAATCCCTGACTGAAAAAACATTGAAACCTTTTTCTTACTTCTTGGGTAAGAAGGAAAGTAAAAATACAACAAAAGAAAAGGCTCAAAACAACTATACTATAAAAATCATTTTCATCATAGCAATGAAGCATAACAGAACCAAAAAGATCTCACTTGCCCCTCCAGCTCCTGGCACTGTACCCTCTAGGGACTCACATATAAACCAAGAAGCCTAAGTAAATTACCAGGGAGGGAACCTACAGAGCATACTGTGGGTACCTGATCACCACCAAAACAGCAGAGACCATAGCCCCCAAACCATCTACCCCAAACCTGAGGATACAGAAAGACAGAATTAGTAGTACATCAATGGAGAATCACTGGAGACTGAAACAGCATAACAGATAGTCACTTTCCACTGCCATTTACTTGTATCACATACACTCTGTGAGTTCTAACTTCACAAATTTCTTATAGTCTGATTTTCTGATGGTTAGACTTCTGATGGTTTCTGTCTGATCTGATTTTCTGATGGTTTCTGATTTTTTTGGAGAGTTGTAGTAAAAATGTACTGATGCACTAAAAATTATCAAAAGGTATTATTTTAAAATCTGCATAACAACCTAGGTTATTTTTAAAAGTTTGTGAAAAGGTCCTAAAATTTCAGGTAAGTTATAGGGCCACAGGGCTCTTTATAAGCATTTGCAGAATGCTGTATATTTACAAGCAGTATAAATGCCTAGGCTATGAGTTTTAATCTTTTTCTTCAGAATAACAAAAAATAGTGGAAAATTAAAGGGGAGTGGGGGAAGTGCTACATCTCCAGCCTTCTTCCATCCATCAGAAAAACTTGTAAAAATAAAAAAAATCCGAATAGTTAGAACACTATTCCCAGACTAGTGAAGACAAGTTTATTAGGAACTTCCATACAACTTTTTCTTAGTCCCCAGAAAAAGCCTAACCACTGAATAGTACAGCAAGTAGTGTGTAACATGCAAGAGCCACTTACGTATTTAACAGAAGATATTTAATGTTCAGGTAATTTCTTCTGAGGCAAACGCTGCATGTAATTTTACTGCAGTTAGATTCTCTCTGCAAAGCATCAGGGTGTTTGCTACTAGTGGAAAGGCTATCTAAAGGAGGCTGTGACTTCCAGGGAACTCTAGCAGCTTCTAATGAGCTGCATCAGCTGTTCTTCATCAAAGGGTGCTTTGTGCTTATGTTCTAGTTCATGTCTTATGGAGGCTCAAACACCCTTTCAGCAGGTACCAGGGAGAGGCCTATACTATTGCTGGGCCTCCAGTGCAGCTCTCAGAGAGCAGCTAACAAACATAGAACTTGCACAGCAGGGTGCACAGACGGGGTATGGTCTCCAGCAGCCACCAGAACAACTCTCCTGGCAATGTCAGAGCCTCCACCCAGACTGAGCTATTTTAAGGGAAGATATGGCTTTGCAAGTCTTCAGCTGCAGGGATTCTCTAGGGCCTCCTATTCTGGCTGAGATTATGGCAAAGGGAGATGAGCTTCTTAGCTACAGAAGATGGAACCCTGTGGGAGAGCTCTGTTGCCAACTTAAAGGAGCTATGGGAGGAGGTCAGGGGATGGCACAGCATCAGCAATAACGAGAAACAAATTGACTGGATATACTCCAAGATCCTGCAGCCTCAAGAACTGCAATCCCCAGTTGTACCAAAAGAGGTACAGTCAGAGCCTAAGCTTATCCAGATGGGAAATGGAGACTCCTATGATGACAAAGGCTGGAAGCACCAGGAACAACAGCTCACGCTCTGCCTGCAGATGTACAGGACAATGACAAATTTGGTTCAGTGCCCTCATAGCAGATATGGGGCTGGGAGCTGTGTCCACTGAGATGTCTGAACTTGCTAAGCCTGAGTCATGCAGTAGCACCACCTATTAGTGGCAAGTGACTTCCTGATTGCAGGGGATGGAGATCCCCACCTCCTAGTGACAGGTGACCTACGAGAAAGATAAAGGCACTATGAGGGTCGGAATGAAGTTAGGAAAGCCAAAACTAACCTTAAGCTGAATCTGGTGAAGGACATGAAGGGCAGCAAGAAGGGCTTCTGCCAGTATACCAGCAGCAAAAGGAAAATGAGGGAATATATGTCCTCCCCTGCTCAATGAGGCAGAGGAGCATGTGACAAAGGACACAGAAAAAGAACAGGCACTCAATGCCTTCTTTGCCTCTTTAATGACAAGAATTCAGCAATGCTAGGTCCCTGAGACCAGTGGAACAGTCTGGAGCAGAGGCAGACTTGCTCTTACTGTAGGTGCACAGAGTTAACATTTAAACAAACTGGACATACACAAGTCCATCCAAGCCAGAGGGATGCATTCAGGATTGCCAAGGGAGCTGGCTGAGGTGACTGCAAGGCCAGTCTCAACCCCTGAAAGGTTGTGGCAATAGCAGATGGTTCCTGAGGACAGGAGTGACATTCACTTTATTCTAATCTTCAAGAAGGGCAAGAAGGACCCAGGGAATTACAGGATGGTCAGCCTCATCTCAATCCCTGGGAATGTGATGGCGCAAGAAATTCTAGAAATCATCTCTAAACCTATTAAGAAGATGGTGGGGAATAGTCAGAATGGATTTATCAAGGGGAAATCATACTTCATGAGCCTCTGTGGTGAGATGACTGGCTTGGTGGATTAGGGGAGAGCAGTGGATGCTGTTTATCTTGTCTTAGTAATGCTTTTGACACCCAAAACATCCCCAGAGACAAACTCATGATGTATGGACTAGATAAATGGACTGACTCAACTACTGGGCTCCAAGAGCTGTGATTAGTGGCACAAAGTTCAGTTGGAGCTTGTCACTAGTAGTGTACACCAGTGGATAATACTGGTACCAACACTAACATCTTCATTAATGACCTAGATAACGGGATGGAGGGCATCCTCAGCAATTTGCAGATGATCCAAAACTGGAACGAGTGGTTGCTACACTAGACGGCTAGGCTGCCAGCTGGAGAAACAGGCACATGCGAACCTCATGAAGTTCAACAAAAGGAAATGCAAAGCCCTACACTTGTTTAGGAAAACCCATGTACTAGGACAGGCTGGGAACTGACTGGCTGGAAAACAGCTTTGCAGAAAAGGTCCTGCTGGTCTTCATGCACATCAGTGTGCCCTGCTGGCAAAGGCGGCCAACAACCACCTTGGCTGCCTGAGGAAGAGTATCACCAGCAGGTAGAGGGAAGTAATTATTCCCCTCTAATCAGCACTGTGAGACTGAACCTTGAGTTTTGTGTCCAGTTCTGGGCTTCTTAAATACAAGAAAGACGTGTGCATGCTAGAGAGAGTTCAGTGTAGGGCCAACAACATGTTTTATGGACTAGAGCATCCATCATATGAGGAAATGGCAGTTGGCACTGTTCAACTGGAGAAGGCGGTTGGGGAGATTTTATAATATGTGTAAATTACCTGATGGGTGGAGAGTGAAAAAGGACAGAGCAAGACTCTTAGTGAGCACCAGTAAAAGGATGATAGAAATGGATTCACATTGAAATACAGGAAATTCCATTTAAACATATAAAAACATTCTTACTGTGAGGGTACTCAAACACTGAAATTGGAACACTGGAAGGTTTTGGAGTCTCCATCTGTGGAGATTAAAACCTGTGAACTCAAAACCTGTCTGGACTTGGTTCTGAACAAACTGCTATAGTTGACCTGGTTTTGAGCAGGGGGTTTGGACCAGATAATCTCCGAAGGTCCCTTCCAATGATTCTATGTGTCTAGTATGTGCCACCAGTGAAGCATAATAATTTTAACATTACATACTTCTCTCTGTGTGCTTCTCTTCTTTCTGGACCTCTTCTTTATCCTCCCCACTCTCTCTTCTCTCCTTCTCCACCTCTTCTATAAAGAGAAGAAACCCCCCCATTTGTTACTTATGCTGACCTACAAAAGTCTCATAGGAGTCCTATTCTGACCAGTAAACTTAGAATACTTATGAAAAATCATGTTGTAGACGTCAAGAGAAAAAAGTATGACATAGTGGGAGTATAGAGATGAAAAAAAATCAGGTACCTTCAGAGCAAATATTTGAACTACCATACAACACAGTAAGATTCACTTCTGGATTTTCTTAGCTTTTAAAATCAACAGAATGCCTCAAAGTTATGTGAGAAATTAAACAATGTATTTTTCATGTAGTTAAAGTTATCAATAAATTATTTTAGCTTATTTTTCACCTAGGAAAAAAGTGTAAAAATTTCAGTAACAAAATACTAATACATTTCTCTACCTATTTACAATTGGCAAATTTACCCATAATCTTTATAGTAGAAAAGACCTAGTCTTGTTAACAAATATGAATTTTCATATAAAGTTTCTTCCTAATATAAAGTATCACAATTTAAGACTAGTCATTTAAAAACATGGTTTAGGAAGTTCTTAAATAAAGAAAAATCTGAAATAACACCCCCAAATGCACGCAGGTTAAAATAAAAGGGGTTAACACTTCCTGAAAGCTTTTATTATATGTTCCATGAACTTCCATTACGTGTTTCATACAGGCTGTATTTGCCACATTCTATGCTTGCTAGATACAACACAGAACTGTTAATTTTAAGATTACATAAAAATCTATTCAGAATATAAGAGAACAAGTCAGCACTGTTACAGCCTGCGGAGCCGCGGAAGAACGACACGCCGAGACGGGTTCAATGTGGGTGATAGAGCATCAACTAACGTGTGTCTTTATTGGTCCAGGGTACATATATTTATACGGACAACGATAATTATTATGCCTACTAGTCACTAGCTGATTGGCTTAAGCTCTAAAGGTCGTATTCGCACGGTCCACCTACTTGCAGTTAGCTACCAGCACAAGCTTCTCATAACACTGTTTCTCAGGCCACTATTTCTAATTCCTCTTAACCTGTTTTCGACACACCACGGTACACAAGGCTGAAGCATCCTTGACATTCCTCATGTATCAGCAGCTGCGAGCAGCTGCAGGCAAACCCTAGTGAGGCCCAGCATCAGCGAGGCAGCATCAGCCCGCAGAACAGGCTCTGATCGTACAACTGCTCGGTGGGCTCAGGACCCTTGTCTCTGAGCCATTCTCCAACAATTCCCCCTTTTTCTTTTTGTATGAGCAGAGCCTGCCCTAACGTTCGTTCAAAGATTTTCTTAATACATGACAAGGCACAACTTAGGCATGCAGGCTTACAATCTACTGGCTAAAGGCACTCATCACGCACCCGGGAGTGCTGTGATAGGTCTGCATCGTTAGCACGCGTAAACAAACTAAATCTACTTTGCAGTTAGTGCATCCAGGCATTCAAACAGGAAGGAAGCACTATATTGACTTCCTCCTTCTTGCCCTACCACGTGACCTCAAGGGCAGGATTACCACGTGGCAGTTTTCTGCTCAGAGACCCAGCCTGGATTGTCCAAACCCTGTAGGATCAGTGCATGACCCTGATCCCCCCCCCCAAAAAAAAATTCCTACCAGGCTTCCCCCTTTTTCTTTTTTGGACAATCCAGACGCCTTTTAATGCTTGATTCATAGCATTCATAAAGCATTTCCACACAGACCCCAATACCATCATGACAATCATAATGACAATCAGCATTACCAGTCCATGCATCAACAAAGCTTTCAGCCAGCCAGTAATTTCCAAGTTTTGTAGATTTATAACCATTCTTTCAGTCCATTTTCCAAATTCCCAAGTTTTGTAACCATTCTGTCAGTCCATGTTCCAGTCTTATGCAGTCTTATGTAGCAAGAAAACCACCCTTACAGTTTTAAAAGTGTCAGCAATTGTAACAACAGAGTATGCAATACAGAATTTAATACAGGTTTCACCATGCTATGTTCTAAACATTGAAATGAACCCACAACATACAATGAATCTGATACTACATGAACAAGTTTTTGATACCAGTGTTGATGTTGAAACACCCAAATGACATTTCAGGGTTCTAAAGTTTGTGAGGAGTCTCCAGACCCCCTGAGGAGAATCTTGTGATCTTGAGTTCCCGGGTGTCCCCCATTCGTTGTCACTACCGGGCAGGCCAACGCTCCAGCAGCATGCCAGTCCCCTTTTAACAAGGCATCACGAATCACCCCACTCTATCGGGACTGAGCTAAAAGCGGAGCTGGTTCTGGTAAGGGTGACGGGAGTGGGTGTGGGGGGGCTGCCGGCAGCGCTTCCTTTTCTTGTAGTTGTAAATGCAGAGTTCTGTTCTGTAGCTTAACTTCTGTAATTTTCTTTCAAGTTCTTGGACTTTGTCACTGTCCCTTACCGATGTGTGACCCTGTTGCTTTAATTCGGACAGAGCCGCCGTTTTTCTCTCCGACTCAGACGCTGACGCGCCGTCAGGGGCAAAACCATCTGAAGGGGGGGGGGGGTCGGGCGGAGTTTGGGGTGGCATGCCGCTCCCCCCTGTTCTCCCGCGCTGCCTGATTTCTCTGCTGCTTCTTGCACGGTGGAGCAAACAGGAATACTTGGTGACATGCCCTTAATAGAGCAGAGCTGTTGATTAACCCCGAAGAAGGTGGCTAATCGTGAGGGACGATTGGTTTCGGCAGGGACCGGTGGAGATGGTACAGCGCCAACAGCCGCCATAGCAGCGGCAGCTACTTTCTTTTCTGCTTGCATCTCCCCCAGAGCTTTTACAATCGTTCGCCAGACCAGCCCTTGCTGTCGTGCTTCACTGCCTTTATTGCCTCCAGTGATAGTCTCGTCCCACAATAAATCACCTACTGCGCGCCACTCCTGTTGGCTAAATATTAGCGAGGGGCCATCGTCCCTCTCCCCCTCCGCCTCCGAGGTAGGGGGGGTGGGGGGGGGCATGATTGTAAGGGCACTGGGGGGGGCTGGCCTCCGGATTTCCCCTACTTATGTTAACTGAAACCGGCACTCCTGTTGATGGTACAGGAATACGATCACTGTCAAAGAGCATAGATCCGGATGCCTCACTATCTGGGGTAACAGTGGAACTTTCCCCCCCCAACTTTGTAGTTGACACAGCTGCAAGATTCTTTTCAAGCTGATACCGCTTAATATTATTCACCACGTCCCGCCACGGTTTCATCATTTTCCTTGCATCTTTATCCTCGTCAATTACCATATCCCATAGAATATCACCTAATTGTCTCCACTCCTCGACATCAAAAAGAGAATTAGGATCTTGAAAACATCCTTTGACCCGTCCTAACGCTACTAAACCCGTGAGTGATTTTATACAATCTACTCCCCGCTTTTCTAAAAAGCGCTGTAATAAATCCAGGGCTACCTCCTGTTCCATATCGTCAACCTGGTGCTCCTTGATTAAGGCACCTCCGGTCCTGTGCTCCCTGGGTAAGGCACAGTACCGTTACTGCTGACCCACCCCTGATTAAGGCAGCGCCGGCCCTGTGCTCCTTGATTAAGGCACAGAAATACTTCCGCTGGCCCTGTGCTCCTTGACTAAGGCACAGAAATGCTTTCTTACTTTGATATGTTGCTGATGCTCCGTGATTAAGGCACCAGGTGCAGCTCTTGGCAGCAGCCCTTGCAGAGAGCGACCCTCTATCTCCGTTCAGGTCCTCGGAACGACCTGTTGGAGATCCACTGTTCGATCGTTCTTGATCCCCTAGGCGCTGCTGTATCTGGTGTTTCCCCGCGTCCGTTTCTGACGCTGCTGTATGTGGCGCCTCTCCACGTCCGCTCTCTGGCGCTGCCACCGCCGGTGCCTGTCCGCGTCAGCTTCCAGTGCCTCTCTGTGTCAGGTCCGGCGCCTTCCCGCGTCCGCTTCCAGCGCCTCCCTGCATCCGCTCCTGGTGCCTCCCTGCGTGAGCTTCTGGCGCCTGTCCGCGTCAGGTCCGGTGCCTTCCCGTATCCGCTTCTGGCGCCTCCCCACGTCCGCTTCTGGCGTCTCTCCGCGCCCGCTCCCAGGGCCGCCGCAGCCAGCTCCTTACCATGCCAGTGCCGGCTCCTCTCCGCGCCCGCTCCCGGGGCCGCCGCAGCCGGCTCCTCTCCGCGTGCGCTCCTGGCGCTGCTGGGGCCGGCGCCTCTCCGCGTCTGCTCTTGGTGCTGCTGTAGCTGGCGCCCCTCCGTCTCAGCTCGTGGACCCCGGCCGCTGCTGTATTTGGCGTTTCTCCGGGTCTGTTCTCGATCCCCCGGTCGCTGCTGTTTCTCCGGATCCGCCGCTCTGTCCGTGTTATTCTTCTATGCAGGTCCCTGTTTGGGCGCCACCTTGCGGAGCCGCGGAAGAACGACACGCCGGGACAGGTTCAATGTGGGTGATAGAGCATCAACTAACGTGTGTCTTTATTGGTCCAGGGTACATATATTTATACGGACAACGATAATTATTATGCCTACTAGTCACTAGCTGATTGGCTTAAGCTCTAAAGGTCGTATTCGCACGGTCCACCTACTTGCAGTTAGCTACCAGCACAAGCTTCTCATAACACTGTTTCTCAGGCCACTATTTCTAATTCCTCTTAACCTGTTTTCGACACACCACGGTACACAAGGCTGAAGCATCCTTGACATTCCTCATGTATCAGCAGCTGCGAGCAGCTGCAGGCAAACCCTAGTGAGGCCCAGCATCAGCGAGGCAGCATCAGCCCCTAGAACAGGCTCTGATCGTACAACTGCTCGGTGGGCTCAGGACCCTTGTCTCTGAGCCATTCTCCAACAACGGCCCATCTTGATCTATACATTTACCCAATTTCCTATTTTCATTTTGTTATTACTAGCTTTTTTAGAGAAAGTTCTGGCTGCAAAGATATGCTTGATTCTCTCTTAACACTAAATTTAACTTCTATTATGAACAACATTTGGATGATTTAAAACAAGTTGCCTAATAAATCATAAAAAGGAAGGAGTCAGAAAACCAAAAACTGAAATAATGAGATT